GCACCAAATATGTAGGGATTTAATTGGCTATCGGAAATAATTAATAATTATTGTCAATAATTAATAATCATGTCAAATAATGTGACTTAATTAACATTAAATCACCTCGTGGGGCACCATTCCCGTAAAGGGAAAAATGATAGCCATTTAAAGATATCAGTCTCAGAAAATAGGTTAAACTATTAATTTGGAGTTTGATTAATAATTAAATTAATGACAACAACCAAAATTAACATTAACGCCTGAAGGATTTCGGAGTTCTTGACACAGCAGCGGTTGACCATTCATTCACTCTTGTGCAACATTAAACAGACAGCAGGTATGATTCCAAAGAATTATATTTATTCACAAACTAGCAAAGCAAACCAAAACACACAAATTCTAACTAACTATATACAAGCTTGGTGTGTATATGTGTGTGTGTGCAAGAGAGAAAAGAGAAAGACAAAGGCGGGTGTGGTGATCAAGGAGCCGTTTGGCCTACAAAACAAAATGGTTGACAACAGGGAACTACAAGATGGCCGAATCAAAGCTGCCTTCAGGTTGGGGGAGGTGTCTGTCTGACCGTGTGGTCAGGACAAAGACAAAGGAAAAGAAGCGGGAACTTTGAGATGCCTGTTTGGGTGTAGCTCTGTTGAAAGCCTATTTGTTAATGAGTCTATGTGAATGTGATATGTGTTGCAAACAGTCTGGATTAGTGCAGAGATTGTTTAGTTGTGTGCAAGAATCTGCTTGTGAACAGTATTAGCAAACTAAACACTTAGCTTTGGCGAAGCCAACTAATCAATGACCTAACTGCAAACAATCACAACAATAACTCAATGACAGCATTAAATCACATACAACAAGTTAAACAGTCTTGCTTAGCTTGTAAAGCTGTGATAAGCTATGCCCAGTTGTTGCATTACCAATCCTTGAATGGATGGAAGAAAGAGTCACTTGGTGGTGTGCTGCTTTGTTAGCTAGCAGAAGAAGGCTGGGAGATGGTTTCAGGTGCAGTCTTTGTTGGGTCCTTTGTTCCAAAGGTGAAACTCTGAGGAAGCTGGACGCTCAGGGTTTAGCAGAGTTAGACGCTGGGTGCTAACTCACTAGGTTTTCTTCGTTTCTGGAACGCTAGTTGCAAACCTTGTGTTTGCAAGAGAGTCTGTGATCAATTGCCCTCCCTTTAGTGGTTTGGGCTATGGAGCAAGGGTCTGGGTCTCTGTGCTGGTCCAAGCAAGAGAGAGAGATCTGTTGGGAGGGAGCAGATCTTTGCAGGCCTGTGACATCACAGAGTCAAATGTTACTGTAAAAGTCCTGTCCAATCAAGTTGTGAGACTTGTGTCTCACTGAGGTGTGAGGTGAGACGTCCTGTGGAGATGGGTGTCACCTAGCTCTCTTTGTTTGAAGACAAAGAGCATGCAGAGGAAAAAGCCTTTAAATGTCCAGTGATGATTTTACCAAATGATAAATCATCTGTGGTCCTGTGAATCCCAACACATCTCTGAATCTATATTTAATTGTAGCAACATTACTTGAAATAACGGGTAGGTCAAGATAAGTGTATAACTTCTACCTACTCCTTTTCGAAGGCTAAATATTTAACTCTGTTACTATGATTGTTTTTTTAATTTTATTTTGTATGACTGATTACATTATTGATCACCTATATTTTGTTTTATTTTATTTATGTTCGAAATAAAGAATCTAAAAAAAAGAAAAAGAAAAAAAAGATGGTAAACAAACACTATCACACATCGACGCATATTAAAGCTACATTACGACGCCAGCTGCAGAAAATGAATTTGCCATTATGTTACATTATATGGAGGATTATCCACTGAAGATGATTCTAATAATTTCATTATACACAAACAAGTTCTGTGACTTATAATGATTTTGACTAATTCCAT